GATGTCCTTATCAGTGGTAGGCCTTGGCCTCTATGTCTTGTTGTTCGCCCTCCAGAGGAACTGGGTGGCCACTGTGTGAGGCAGGATGCTGGACTAGATGGGCCACCGGTCTGATCCATTAGGGCTCTTCTGATGTTCTTATGAAGGCCTTAGCCTCCATGCCCTGTTGCTTGAACTGGCTGGCCACTGTGTGAGACAGGATGCTGGACTGGATGGACCACTGGCCAGATCCAGCAGGGCTCTTCTGATGTCCTTATCAGTGGTAGGCCTTGGCCTCTATGTCTTGTTGTTGGCCCTCGGCCCTCCACAGGTGGCCACTGTGTGAGGCAGGATGCTGGACTAGATGGGCCACCGGTCTGATCCATTAGGGCTCTTCTGATGTTCTTATGAAGGCCTTAGCCTCCATGCCCTGTTGCTTGAACTGGCTGGCCACTGTGTGAGACAGGATGCTGGACTGGATGGACCACTGGTCTGATCCAGCAGGGCTCTCCCGATGTTCTTTCATTCTTCTCAAGTAGCCATGTTTGTTTTTCATTGTATCCCTGACTCTTTGCTGATTTGTCCCCCGCAGATGACGTGCTAACAGGAATGATCCAGGGGACCGCATCGCAATGGCGTCCTCGCATCCCCTGGAACTGACGGTCTTGGGGAATGGATCGGGGCCCAGCCGGAGAGCCCCACAGGGGGGTCCTTCAGCACCATGGACAGCTCCCAGCGCGGGCATTGAGAATATCTCCTACGAGGGGGAGGAGGAGGAGGAGGAGGAAGCAGAGACCTCCTTCCCTAACGGCCGAGGGGCCGCCAGCAGTCCCAGGGAACCTCCGGCGCCCCCCAGAGGTGACCTTTCCCCCAGATCAGAGGATGGCCCTCTGTCCGACGCCACCGGGAATTCCGTGGACTATGGCTTCATTTCGGCGTTGGTCTTCTTAGTGGGCGGGATCTTGCTGGTGATCGTCGCTTACAGCATCCCGCGGGAGGCCAGGGTGGACCCGGACACCGTGTCCGCCCGGGAGATGGAGCGGCTGGAGATGTATTACGCCCGCCTGGGCTCCCAGCTGGACAAGTGCATCATTGCCGGCTTGGGCTTCTTGACCTTGGGGGGCATGCTGCTGTCGATACTCCTGATGGTCTCTATCTATAAAGGGGAGCTCTATCGGAGAAGGACTTTCCCGGCCTCCAGAATTCCCAGGAAGACCTACGGGTCTATAAACCTGAGGATGAGGCAGCTGAATGGAGAAGGGGGGCAAACGTTGGTGGAGAACGAGGTTGTTCAGATGACGGACGTGGCACCCGTCAACCAGAACTGCTGACGTTTCTAGATATTTCGGCCTCTCGGGTGCAACCCTTCCTGTTTAAGTCGAATTGAATCCTGTTTAAGTCGAATTGAAAGTCCTGAGACTACAGAGTGCTTTTGGGGTTGGGTTTTTTTTGTTTTTGTTAAAAAGGTTCAGTGTAACATATTTAACAATAACTTTGTACCTCAGAGAAGATCAGGAAACAAACAAACAAACTGGGATTTCACCTCTTGCCAAGAAAGACGCGCTGTTTGAAGTACAACCTCAGGCATAGATTCACAGTTGCCGTCTTGGCCGGCGTCCAGCGGGAATCCCTTTCTGCTCCGTGGGCGCTGTCCGAAGGACCCAGACTAGGTTTCAAAGAAAACTTTCAAGCCCCTTGAAAGTTTTCTGTGCCAGGTGCGGTCGTGGGATAACCCCCGCCTCCCCAATGCTGGTTTCCCCCCCACTGTTGTACAACCAAATAGCCGAGGCCGATAAAACAGAGCCAAAGCAAAACGTTGGCGATCCTCTAAAGAGGATGGACCCGTACGGTGAGAGGCCTGTACTTTGGAACTAAGTCACTGTGTTTTTCTGTAGCAATAGTTCAATGTATCGGACACGGAACGCCGACTCTCAGCTGACGCCCCTGCCGGCAAAAGGCCAGCCGGCATTCAAACGCGGTTCGGTTTGTCTGCGTTTTCTGAGACTCGAGATCCCATCGCCTTCTTCACGACGTCTGCCTTTTTAAACACATCCCGGGAATCAAGCCAGGATGGAAGAACCCAGAGGTGGGCTCGCACACCTGGCAGTCACACCAGCACACCCCAATCCACCCACCGCACATACGACACCTATGGATTCACCAAAACGAGAAAGCCCCTTTCGGGATGCTTATCGCTCCACGACGAAATGCACCAGAAAGCAAACAGCCATTTCAGACACTCTCCGGCTCCTGGGTTTCTCTGGCCAGTCAGCGCCTTGCTCCCACCCAGCCTCCTGCCTTCGATGTCAAATTTATTTGCTGCAATTAGGAGATAAAATTACCTCTGGGACCCAGCGCATGAAACATTAATGAAGGCCAGCGTGTAGCCGGCAGAGAAGGAAGTCTGTCAGCAGGAAGCATAAAAATGGAAAAAATTCAGACACCGCGCTAGAGGTGACCTCTGCGAGGGACGGATGCCGGTAAAAAGCAAACGTGCTGCTCCCAAGCCTCATTCGTGTGACTGTGTCCCAGGAAACAAACCACACGTATTGTGCAGTTATCTGAGATTTCAATGAACCAAGGGAAAGGAGGGGTCAGCTTGTGCATTCGCTGGTGACAGATTTAGTGGAAATCTTGATCTATCGGAGGAGGTTTTTCTTGGGGGAGGGCGCTATAATTGGGGGTGGGGGAGACTGTGATTTAAACATAATTTGGGAACGCCGCAAAAGTCATTTAACATTAGCCTGGCGGCTTATCTGACCTAGAGCTTAATCGATGTGCCCAGCAAAAAGGGGCTCCATTTCAGACTGGGAGATAACGATTGTTGAGCACTTCTCCATGTCAAAAAAGAGAAGTCCCAGCAAAGGGAAAACTAGCACCTCAAGGTGCCAGCCCAACTTTCTCTGTGCTAGATTTCTGCTTGCCAATTGTGTTTTTTTTTTTTTAAATCCTGGAAGATTTTAAAAATGTGAGTTCCTGCCAGCAGGCCAATCTGGTTCTCCCTATTTCACCTCCCAGTTCTTCAATGATTCTTTTAATATTTAATTTATATTAAATTCTTTCCAACAATGTATACTTAATTCCTCTCCATGCTCTTCCAATATGAATTTTAAGAATCAAAATCGGAGGCTCTACATGTGGCTATACAGGGGTAAATTGTGAACAGTCGGGTTAAAATACCTTGAAATGCAAGAACTGTTGTTTGGGACCAGTGCTCCCTCTAAGCTGTGAAGTCTTGTGAGCAAAAATTCTCCTTTATAAGCTACTGGCATTAAAGTTGTGAGCAAGCCAGTTTGGTGTAGTGGTTAAGTGCGTGGACTCTAATCTGGGAGAACTGGGTTTGATTCCCCACTCCTCCACTTGCACCTGCTGGTGTGACCTTGGGCAAGCCGTAGTTCTGACAAGAGCTGTCCTTGAAAGGGCAGTTCTCGAAAGAGCTCTCTCAGCCCCACCTACCTCCCAGGGTGTCTGTTGTGGGGAGGGGAAGGGAAAGGAGTTTGTAAGCTGCGCTGAGACTCCGAGTGAAGGGCGGGGTATAAATCCAATCTCCTCCTCCTCCAAGCGATTTGGCTACTGCATAAATTGGTTTGCTCTGGAGCCATCCTTCTTGAGCTAGGACAAAAATGTGTGTGAGCCGGAGGCTAAAAAACTGTGAGGTAGCTCACACTCACTTAGCTTAGAGGGAACACTGTTTGGGGCATTTCTTTGCAAAATTCAAAATATATACCAGATAAGAACAACACCTGTAATTGATAACAGCAGAGTCTGCTTAGCTGTGCCAAGCAATCGGATACCTGGAGTGTCTAAGAGAGGCATTATCACTGTTGAAGCTCTGGTTAATCCAATTAAACACACTGATACATCCTGAATTGAGCAGTTTCGTACTGGAATCTCCCTCCTTAGCGCTGGACGTTTTCGAGCAGAGGCTGAACGACCATCTTTCGGGTACGTTGTCAGGCTATCTTTCGGCTATGCGCCTGCAGAGTGCAGGGGGTCGGACTCGATGACCTGCAAGGTCCCTTCCGACTCTAACGTTCTACGATTCTATGAATGCCTGACATATTCTAGACACTTACATGCATTTGCAGCAAGACAGGTTTGAAAGCTTTGTTTTTCGAACAATTAAGTGGCACGTACATTACCGATATCGTTAGGACGGCTCCTTGAAATTTACTCACCCTGGATTATACAACATGACTGTGGAGAGGCTTAGAGGGGACATGGTGGCAGTCTTCAAGTATCTAATGGGCCGTCATGTAGAAGATGGAGCGGATCTCTTCTCTCTTGCTCCGAATTGCAAGACTAGATCTAATGGGTGGGAATAACAAGGGAGTCGTTACCGGCTTAATATCAGGAGAAACTTCCTAACTGTAAGAGTGGTTGAGCAGTGGAACACAGACTGCCTGGAGAGGTGGTGGATGCTCCTTCGCTGGACGTTTTCAAGCAGAGGCTGGACGACCCTCTTTCGGGTATGTTGTAGGGCTATCTTTCGGCGATGCTCCTGCAGAGTGCAGGGGGCTGGACTAGATGACCTGCAAGGTCCCTTCCAACTCGAACATTCTATGAGATCTATGAAAATGGCTGCCGCAGCTTACCTTCAGCCACCCAGTCAATATCCTCGTGCTGCAGTAACCGCTGCACAGCCAATCAAATCTCCAGTGGCCAATCAGGAGCCTTGCTGGGCAAAAGCCCCGCCTGGCTCCACCCGCTTTCTAAAAACACTCGGCAGGTGCCAGAAAAGGTCTTGGCGGGTGTCATGGCCCCCCCGCCGCCGGAACAATGTTGGGGAACCCCCGGTTAGCCGGTTGCATCAGAATCAAAACAGGCGTCCAGGGGCACCTGGCAGTCTCATGAAATTTCACCCCAGCGAAAGAAGTCCTTTCCTCCCTTTCTCAGCATACAAGAACTCCTCGTGGGCACGCCATGGAATTGCTGAGCAGTCGGGTTAGAACGGATAAAAGGAAGTCCATCTTCACCCAAAGAGTGATGAACACTTGGAATTCACTGCCACAGGAAGTGGTGGCGGCTCATGTTCCCTCTAAGCTGTGGATCCTGTGACCAAAAATTCTACTTTGTGAACTACCGGCCTTAAAGTTGTGAGCCAGCGATTTGGCTCCTGCATGAATCAGTTTGCTCTGGAGCCAGCCTTCCTGAGCTGAGACCAAAATGTGTGAGCTGGAGGTTAAAAAACTGTGAGCTAGCTCACACTAGCTTAGCTTAGAGGGAACACTGCGGCTACAAGCATGAACAGCTTCAAGAGAGAACTGGATAAACATCTGAAGCAGAGGCCCATCAGTGGCTACTA